ATCCTTGGGAGCGGGGTCGGTGGAGCCGTTTTGGCTCCAGCTGCTTGTTTGCTGTTCTTTGGCGGAGCAGGTGTTGAAGTTGAAGGTGGCTTTTGGCTCAGAGCCGGCCACGCTGTTTTGTCCAGGTGAGGTGTTCTCCCTGTTAGTCATCTCATGGGATCTGCAGTGTGAGACTTTTGTTTCGGCTTGGCGCCCTGAGCGATCCAGGGTGAGCTGCTTGGTGCGGGGCATACGACCTCTCCGCTGATTTGAGGAAGAGTCGTTTCATTTCCACAGGTAGCGTTGATCTCAAAGTTCACCTCCAGCCGTTGAAACTTCGTTTCTAAAACCTGAAGTCGTTGTAGAATGCTGTTAATGTCCTTGGGGTCGGACGGGGGCATTTTGCGCTAGCTCAATTTGGAGGTGAAGAAAAGTAAGGTAGCTATGTTGATAATGTAAATATAACCATAAAAATTGTAACTTTAAAAATAATTCACAGGTAAAGTTATCAGTAAGGACGGGACGGAGCAGGATAAGCTGTTCCTCCTTCAGCTGCCAGAGTAAACCTTAGGGTTTATTATTCTATTTATTTAATATTCCCTGCTGGAACAATGTTCTTTCTGAACTATTTGGTAAACTACTGAAGTACTGAGTAACTGATCATAACACCCGATTTAATATTCAAAATGTGTCCTCTAACAGCCAAAAGTTATGTGAAAATTATGGTATTTTACAGAGTATTACCAAAACATTTATATAAATGAGTTCGGTTTGGAGGCTGGTTCTACACCAGATTTAATGCAGGGGTCAGGGTAGTCGGTGTTTTTCCATGGCAACACTTGAAAAAGAATTACACAAAAACCAGAGAAATATATCATTACTTATATGCAATATCGCTATATAAAAAAAAAGAGACAAAAATAAATACATATTAAAGCTGGCAAATTTAAATTATGTGTTGAAAACTCATTTTCACCGACTGAGCCACTGAAATAAACTTAATATTCCATGTTATTGAGGCGACACTAGATGGAAATTCAGATTTTGTGGAAGTTTAATTTTAGTAAATTGCTCAACAACGCTACCCTGGGAACTTCACCCAGAGAATATTACCTCTTGTTTAAGGCACACAGGTTCAGTTATGCATGGATTAAAACATCTGAGGCCGTTTCAAAATTATATAAAAAAATGTTTATTAAATTCTTTTGAAATCGTTTTTAAAACCAGTTTCTTTTAAAAAATTAAACTAAAGAAATCAAAGGAAATAGAAGAGCTGCAGCAGTTGAGGTTACCGGCCGGAGGGGGCGCTATGGGGACGACATCCACCAAACACAGCAAATCAAAAAAAAAACAAAAAACCTTTAACACCAGACGCAGTGAGACAATCCAAACTCCAGAATCACAGCACACAGACGAGGAAGACAGTCACCACACCAACACCGCCACCGGACCTCAGCAACTGCAAACAAAAACAAACAGTTAACCAATATAACAATATCAGCCCGACTAACAAAAGGGCTGTGAACAAAAGTAGAAAAATAAAAATCAGACAATACAAGTTAAAAACATTAAGACCAGGCGTGGCCCTGCCACAGCGGGAGATGAAACGGGCGCGCCGATGCCACACCCCAAACAAGCTCCAATTAGGGCGGATAACGCCGCCACAGTCCAACTTGAGAACAGTTGTGCAGAAATCCGGGAGATTTACGTAGCCGGCGCAGAACAGATCCGGGAAACAACCGCAGACAGAGCAGCAATGGTTCAACTGTGGGGAACCTATATATAAAAAAAAAATTACTATTTTAAATAAAACTAAAAGAAATTGGAGCTTAGATGAGTGTTAATTTCTTACCTGCTGATCCACAAAACATGCACACACACTCGCAGACCGAGGAAGAAAAGGAACGCAGCGCAGTGGCGTTCTACCTACAATCACACTTCAGTTTAGATTTTCTGGCCAAGATCAGCCAAAGCGAAGGGAGAGAGAACACCTACCACCAGAAAATCAGCGCAACATGCACCAGCCAGCGATTTGTTGCTTTCCGCTGCCAGAGTGGGACGCGAAGTGGGAGAACAAAGACGACACATACCTGAATGAGCGCCGCAGCGCCCCTATATACACCACGCCCACTTCAAGAACCGGAACGTCTCACCTGGAAACTATTTGTGTGAAATTATGTATATTTCTATACCACTACATAACTGTTTAAACATACTCCAGCATATGAATATTTGAAATCCACTGAAATGAATTCAGCACAGAATGTAGAAAAATAGCTGAGTCACTGATTTCTACAACAGCTGTTTTAGCTGAAACATTGCAGTTGTAGGAGCAGGTTATTGTCAGTAGGTGGCAGCACGAAGGTGCTACCGTGTTAGCACATTTCAGATATAAAAGCTTTTTATTAAACATTAAAAGTTTAATATAAACATTTTATANGCATTTTAAACGCACACATGAAAATTCACTCTGGTGAGAGGCCTTACACATGCACAACCTGTGGAAAAAGTTTTGTATCTAAATCTCATTTACTTGATCACATGACAATTCACACTGGTGAGAAGCCTTTCTCTTGTGAGAACTGTGGAAAATGTTTCCGTAGGAAATCTAACTTGGTTAGTCACATCACAGTTCACACAGGTGAGAAGCTTTTCTCATGTGAAACCTGTGGAAAAAGTTTTCAGAGGAAATCTGACATGGTTAGGCATATCAGAGCTCACACAGGTGAGAAGCCTTTCTCATGTGAAACCTGTGGAAAAAGTTTCCAGAGGAATCCTGAGTTGATTGGGCATATCAGAGCTCACACAGGTGAGAAGCCTTTCTTATGTGAAACCTGTGGTAAAAGTTTCACTAATAAAAGATATGCAACTATTCACATGAAAACTCACACAGGTGAGAAACCTTTCTCATGTGGGACTTGTGGAAAATGTTTTGCTAGAAACCACAATTTACATCTTCACATGAGAACTCATACAGGTGAGAAGCCTTTCTCATGTGGGATCTGTGGAAAAAGTTTCACTCAAAAACGCCATTTAAAATCTCACATCAGAATTCACACACGTGAGAAGTAGCACTGCACTGATTTATCAGCCAGCCGATTAATCTATGTTGATTTCCTTAATTTTGGGACATCAGCTGATTCTTGCATGTGAAGCTGGTCTGATCCCCCAATTTTATTGACCTCAGCCACTGCTCTCTTCTGCTCTCCATTGAGAGGTGTGACTATTAGAGCGCCCCAAAGCAAAAACTGCAATCGGTGCACCCTTAGTGAAAAGCGAGGAAAATGTTTTGTGTAGATCCAGTTTACTTCATCACAAGAAGATTCACACTGGTTAGAAACCTTTCTGTTGCAGGTCCTGTAGAAAAGGTTTCACTCAAAAGAAATGTAACAGTTCACATGAGAACTCACAGGTTTGATGACGCAATGTGAACCTCAAGATTCTTAGTAACCTGCTGTTTGGAAGTGGAGTAATTGCAGGTTTGACTACTTTCAGGTTTAGACTTGTAAAATTTTGGAATCTTTATTGTGTGTTTATTCTTTGTACTTATTTATTTTATTTCAATGATTTGGGGAAATGGATGTATTTATTTGACTTGGTTTTAATGCTTAGAAAACGTATTGATGATGTGGACTGAATTTTAGATAGAAAAATTATTTAAACTTTTAATATAATTTTTAGGTAATAAATTATTATACTGATGAAACTGATGGTTTTTTTCATTTTTCTGTTTAGTAGAAAACATGTACAATCGGGAAAACGTTTATATATACAGCAGCAGAGCACATCTCTTCCTCCTTAACATTGCATGAATTCATTAAGGTAAAATTGTGAAGGTTAAATAAATCTACCTCTAAATATTAACAAAAGGCATTTATTCAGTATAATTTCTTCGGTTCCCCTGGTAGCCCCCGTCTAGAACCGCCCCTGTGTTGCTGGTCTGTGCCTGGTACATTTTTGGTTGGCATGTTTTTTCTTCATTTATAAAAAGTCAAATTATCCAAACTGGTAAACGAAGTTAATAAAATAATGGTGAAATCATACATTAAGTGACCGCTGAACAATGTAGTCATAAAATATTTCAACATTTCTAAATAAAACGTATAGAAAGCCCTCAAACCTTTTAAAGTAGGAAATATTTATGTATTTACTGTTAATCTATTAGTATGATTTGTTCTTTAAATCACCATTTGTATCATTTTGGCTGATATTATACAATAAGCAGATAATTAAACCAGAACAGTCTACTAAAACCACAATAAGAAACTTAATCATGGCTAAATGTTCTGTACCATATCAGCCTCAGGAGATGACTGAGGGATGAAGAGACTCTGATGTCTGGTTCTTTAGGTTCTGATGGGTCACTTCCTCTCCTGGTCCATTCTGTCTGATATAACAGCAGCACACTGATTAACACCATTTTTTTAATTGTCTGTACTCATCCTCACGTCATTGTTCAGTCTGGGATTTGCGTCTTGCCTCTCGCATCCGTTTCTTTACGAGAGGTTTTCCCTCTAAGGACGGTGGAGAATCGGGTCGAGGACATTTTAAAAAGAAGCGGGTTGATAGCGGCTCACTGCGGCTGCGTAGTGTCCGTCTGTCAAATGCGCGTTCATGTTGAAGGCTTCGCAGTGCGTCCCACATTCTCCACATCCGCCCTTCGCTTTGCCCATTTTCTGTCCGATTTCCATCTTTATGCTGAGACAGCATTTTCTTTGACGATGAGTATTACCCACAAATCATTGCTGCAGTGACATTTTCAGTTAAAAGGCAGATTTATAGCAATCTTTTATGGGTTTTGTCCCCAAGAAAAATAGTATGACAAGGCAAACATTAGTAATAAAAATGTTTGATACAATAAACCGAGCAGAAAAAAGAAGAAATAAATAATGGTCACAAACTAACTGAGAAAAGTAAAACAGTGTCATAAATGCAAGACAAATTTCATATCTTAAATTAAACATATTGGTATAAAGATTTGGCATTTCTGATTTTATTTAAGCTCTCTTAAATTATTTCACTTTAAAAATGGAGGTGATTTGCAGCATACCCTAAATTTCAATTGAATAACCTAGTATTTTTTTTAAGTCTAATTAATTGATTTCTAATAGGTTTTTATTCATTATTGTAGAAAATGCTTTTTCCTCAGTTTAATATTGGCTTTAAATTCTGCAGTTCCACTGAATGTTTATTATATTATAATAAAAGATGTTACAGTGTTTCCATCTGATTTCAATATTCATCATTCCTCATTATGAATATAATTGACTGAAAAAAACGTCTCACATTGCATGTGATAACATGAAGGTCACTGAAGGAACAATTGAAAAAACACTGATTTAAAGCACCAGAACAATAAAAGCATTGTGGTTATCGTCATACCTATAAGCAATATCTCTATATAAAAAGAGATAAAAAAATATATATATATACATTTTAAAGCTGGCAAATTTATATGTGCTTAAAATCATTTTCACTGACTGAACCACTGAAATAAACTTAATATTCCATGTTATTGAATGTGACTGTTTAAACACACTCCAGCATATGAATGTTTGAAATCCATTGGAATGAATTCAGCACCGATTGTAGAAAAATAGCTGAGTCACTGATTTCTACAACAGCTGAAACAATGTAGGTGTAGTAGCAGGTTGTTGTCAGTTGGTGGCAGCACGAATGTGCTACCGTGTTAGCACATTTCTGATATAAAATGTTTTTTTATTAAACAAAAGTTTAATATAAACATTTTATAGAAACCTTTAGCAAATGAAGCTTTTTATAAAAACATTTAATAAAAACCATAAAACTTCATAATTAACTGTAAAAGCTTTTTTTATATTCTGCCTTTCACTTGGGTGAACTGAGGTGGTGAAATAAAAGAATAATAATGGAAAATAAAAATAAGGAGTTTACTCTAATGAGCTATCACTCTTAGCTACAAAGGAGACAGAAGTGATTTTCATTCAAACAGCACTTTATTAAATATTGCAAGGACAACAAAACAATATCAGAGTTTTTGGTTTGTTTGTTTGTTTGTTTGTTTGTTTGTTTGTTTGTTTGTTTGTTT